TAAAGGAACAAGAAAGAGAAAAAGAAAAAGAAAAAGAAACGTGAAATCATAAAAATCATAGCAATTTAATGAAATTCTTTTCGATCGTTCGTAATAAAATTCATTGCGTTTTTATTTTCTTTTCCTGGGTTTTTTTTGTCTTTTTCTTTTTTTTTTTTAGTCTTTTTTTCTTTCGTTCTTTTTCGTTTTCTGTTTTTTCTTTGTTTTCTATTTTTGTTTCTTCTTTATTCTCTAAGCGATAATTTCTAATACAATTGCACGACATTCGTGAAGATTCTAACGCAAAGCTAGGAGCCAGAGTTGATAAGCTAAGCTGACGGATTTAGAAGCTCTTTAAGTCCGTATACATTCTTCTTTAATTCTAATTCTAATCAATTCGAATCGGCGTGGGAGACAACTGCATTGGCACAATGAAGTATCTGATACGTAATCGAAAATTTTCAAATTTTTTTCCGATTATTTCGTAACGCTTTGAAATATGATGCATTGTGTATTTGTGAAAACGATCGATAAATAAATAAATAAATAAAAAAAAAAAATGAAAGAATTATTATATTTTAAGAAGTTCGACTTAACGAATGTAATTTCATTTTGAGAAATAAAATATAACAAAGTTAAAATAATCACGAATAATGATCATACATTTAATTTAGAAAATACATTCTAATAATTTATTTCATTTCGACGTAATTAATCATTTAGATTTAATTTCGACTTAATAGCAATAGTATTGTTTTGTTTCTTTGTTTCGTTTCGTTTATAATTGTTTGTTCTCTTTTTAATTTATTAGTGTTGATTAATTTACTTGAGAAAAAAAAAATATAAATAAAATAAAATAAAATAAAATAAAAAAAAAGAATTGGCAAGTACAAAATATTATGATACAAACGTTTTATATGTATGCATGTATGTACATAGAATTGCAAGAAGCTACCAATTAATTAATTCTTTATCTTTTGTTTGTTTTATAAAAATAGTGTCACAGAGACGCTACGATTTGTTTTTCTCATAATTATTTTCTCGATTAGTAAAAATGAACGCAGAAGAGGTGCCTGCTTGAGCGTGCTCGAAAAAACTTCTTCTCACGACAAGTAAATTCTTTGGATTGTTTTGTTTGTTTGTTTGTTTGTTTGTTTGTTTGTTTGTTTGTTTGTTTGTTTGTTCATTTATTTGTTTGTTCGTTCGTTCATTTGTTTGTTTTGTTCCTTTCTTTTTTTTTTTTTTTTTTTTTTTAATCTTTTTAATCTCTCGCACGGAAGATCGATTGTAAGGAAGAACAATTTTTTTTTATGTTAATATAAAAAAGTTCTTCTTGAGGATAGTCTTATTCGCCATTTGTTAACATATACATATATTATATATATGTATATACATCGAGATGCGTGCGTGCTCGCGTATGCATTTGTGTGATCAAGTATAATACGGTTTATATCTGTATTTTTTCGTTTTTCCATCATTTCTTTCCTTTTTTATCCTTTCTAGCTTGCATTTTATCGTTTGAAAAAAAAAATTGATTAAAGATAGAAATATATATATATATATATATATATATATATATATATATATATATATATATATATAGAAAGAGAGAGAGAGAGAGAGAAATGTAAAGAAATTTCTTTACTTCTTGACAGTTGAAAACTTTACACACACATACACGTAAATCTTGTCTATATTCTTATCGTTTAATTATTCCTTTTTAGGATCTCTATGTCAGAAAGTGATAAAACGGCTTCGTTCTCAATGAATGGAAAGCTAACGAGTTTGACATGCTGTTAACGACCACCATAACTAATTAATTAGTAGAGAGTTAGTCAAATAAAGGGAGCTCCTGTTGATTCAATGGTGCAGAAAGAGAGAGAGAGAGAGAGAGGGAGAGAGAGAGAAACAGAGATGGGCAGAGAGGAAGAGAGAGAGAGAGAGAAACAGAGATGGGTAGAGAGGAAGAGAGAGAGAGAGAGATTGAGATAGAAAGATACAAGTGTGTAATGTATCACACAGTGTTTCTCTTTTTACACCGTTTGCTTTCTAATCTTTCGACTAATTCGTTTTTGTCGGACATATTTCTTCTTTACAATACATACACATACATATTTATTATCTATATATATATATACGTATGACCTGCATACGATTTCTCTCTTTCTCTTTTATGCTTTTACGTTTTCATGTTTTTTCCTTTCTTTTTTTTTTTTTTTTTTTTTTTTCATTTTTCTTTCTTCTTTTTCACTCTACGAGGCGTAAGCTCGCGTTCTAATTATACACAAGATCGAATAATTGCAGTTTAGCACGAAGATTTCGTTTTTAGATTTTGATTATAATCATTGGAAACGTTGAAGACGTCTTTCCTCCATATTAAATTAGACTATCTACTGTATATATATATATATATATACACTGTGTAAGCAGACACAATTTGTATAGATTGAAAAATTTCATTGAGCTTTTATAGGTTTAATCTTTTCTTTTCTCTTTTTCTCATTTTGTTTCTATCTTTTCCTTTTCGAGTTGTTCATCTCTCACAGAGATTTGTTTCGATCGTGAGATTGTCAGTATTGGAATAGTAAACAAAAGAAAGAAAAAGGAGAAAAAGATAATGAAAACTAATGGAGAAAAATTTTTTTTTTCTTAAATAAATTGCTCTCTCACATCCTTATAAATCTTTGAAGTATTCTAATATATTTTTTATGTTTCTTTTCTAGAGAATTTTTTATCTAACCACACATACATACACGTACCAGCCGTTTTCTTCTTTCTCTTTCCTTCTTTCTTTCTTTTTTTTTTCTTTTACTTTTTTTCTTTCTTTTTTTTTTTTTTCTTTTTTTTCTTTAAATTTGACCGATTGACCTCCAACAACACGAATCATTTTTACTCATAAATCAGACAATATCGACGTCGATCAAATTTCTTTTCTGGGAAAAGAAACAACAACAAAATCTTCACACAATAGCTAACGCATCAAACGTAATACGCTCTTTTGGCTTTTGCGTACATGGACTAGTTTCTTTTTGTTAGTTTTGCTTTAATTTGTTTTCGTCAAAATCATTTTTCTAATATTCATTAGAATATATCTTCGATGTCGGTGTAATTACGATCCCAATAGCCACCTTTGTACAGCCAATCGTCTTGGCCCGTGTATGGATTAATTGTCCATCTAAACCATCTGTAAAAAAAAAAAAACAAGAAAAGAAAGAAAATGAAAGAGAGGGAGAAAAAAAAGAAATAACACAAATTAACAACTAACATCGAAGATAAATTTCAATTGAGAGATTATAATAATAATAATAATAATAATAATAATAATAATAATAATAATAATAATAATAATAATAATAATAATAATAATAATAAAATTTGTTTAGAGTACTTTGGCGTCCATTCTTGTCCTTTCTTTTGTTTCCTCATCTTTCTAGAATCACGTTGCTTCTCCTCGAGTCTTGCCTTTTCAGTAGCCGCACCATCTTGATCGCCATGTTCTAATTTTCTTATATCCGGTCTTAATCTTGAATCGGTCGGACATAAATCATTTCTCATTGTTGGTTCTATCTCATTCAGGGACATTGCGAATGTAGTGAATTGAAAGTACTACAAATTTTGATAATGAATATTAATACTTTTCTTTTTCTTCTTTATACCTCGACTTATTATATAGTATTACTTATGATAATACTAGTATTAGAAAAAAAAAAAAAAAGAAAAAAAAAGATATTTACGTTAGAACTGTTCGGTGGTCTCGGTGAAACTTCCCAAAGTGTTGTCGAGCTTGGTATTTCGTCGAACATTGGTGTATCCTCGTCTATACTCGTTGATGATTCGTCGATCGCATCCTAATTAAAAACAAAATGTATTATCATCATTGATATTAAATAACGTGCACGTAACATCGAATTTATTTTCAATGATATATAAGATTAAAATAAATCCATCTTTATTTATTCAACAAATGTTAAAAGAAAAAAAAAGTTGTCTTTTTTTTTTTTCTTTTCATACGATTAAGAGTTACCTGATGAGATGGTTTGAAAGCCCCAACCTTGAGGCTTTGAAGTTTGGCAAGTACTTTTTTGTGACCTGGACTACCTTGCGGACTTTTAGCGTCCCTTTTCAATTTTTCAAGGGCATCCTCGTACAAGGATGGATCACAAGAACGTAATCTTTCGGTCCATTTCCCATATAAATATAGTAATTTTCTTTTTCTAAAAATAAAACGTTTTATATATATTTTTTGAACCTCATTTTGCTTTTCTTTCTTTTTTCTTTTCTTTCCTTTTTTTTATTTTTTTTTTTTTCCTTAGATCTTACTCTTGATCCATTATGAAGCCTTCAACTCGATGAAGATCTTTGCCATTCCAGCTTCCACTTTTGAAAGTTAACACGGCTTTCAAATTTGAACCTCCACATTGTTTAATCTCAAGGGCACCCAATTGTTCCATCCAAAGTTGTCCAACCAATACGTTATGAAGAATACAATTAACGTTCTGCCAAGTATACGCCTCTTTCCATCTAATATAATCGATAAAACAAATAAATAATATCGATCGTGTTTTTAAGTAAAATTAAGGGCAAACCATTTTATTATTGAAATCGAATAAGCGATATATATATATATATATATATATATATATTGTATATATTATATAAAACTTACTTGAGTAATTCGACCGTGACGATACCCTTTGGATGTACTTCTATCGATTTACCCCAGAACTTTAATTTAGGATGTATGCTACCGTGAAAAACAAAATCCTCGCTATCAGCGTGAAACGCCGATACTGGTGGATGATGAGAGACTTGTTCGCATACTATTCTAAAAGAAATAAGAAGAAGAAAAAAAAAAGAAGACAAAATAATAGAAAAATATTATTATGTGAAAGATTAGCTCGTCAATTTATTAACATAGCTAATTGAATTTTAATCGTTACTTTATTACCTAAAATCTTCACGGGTTAATTCGTAAGTCTCGCCAAGCAATGGATTGAATGGTTTACCAAGACGTTCCCAATTCGAAGCCAATGCGCTTACGGCAAAAGCGGCGACGTACTTCGTAATAAATACGAATGGAAATATTTTAGAAATTATGCGTTCGTCGTTTTGTAAAAAAAAAGGAAAAAAGAAAAAAAAGAAAAAGAATATATAAATATGTATTAACTTACTTTTAATCTGCCGACAGGTGTCTGTTCGGCGGAAGCTTGTTTCAATAATTTTGCATATTCCATATATTCCGCGACTCGTTGCAGAAAGGAAAGTGGCTCGTTGAATATAACAGGCATTGTGATTTTGCTAAGGTCCTTGCCCAGTGACAATACCGAGCAAAGATTTACCTCTGAGTGACCCGGAACCGGTAATGATGTTCTTCAAATAAACGAATACATTATTTATTCTATAATAATGTATATATATATGTATCATATTCAAACGAATATAAAAAAAAGAAAAACATATATATGTTACATCGTATTCATTCTAAACATGTAAATACATATATGAATATGAACATATAGTTTCATACGTGAATACGTAATAACATCTAATACGATCGATTACTCCTATGCATGTTATTTTGGCAACGTAATCGTCCAAAAGGCTTGTCTCGAATCGATAAATGAAGTTTGTAGTCTCTCGAGAAAGAAAAGGCCAACGCAAAAGCACAATCTAACTATAGGTATATATATATATATATATATATATATATATATATATATATACTACACATATGTAGTATATATGTATATGTATATTCATATACATGTATATGGATTATCAGTAAAGTGTTTCTCTTTGAATTTGATCAGAAAACGAGCAGCGTTTTCGATATTCAAGTACGATAACTTTATTGTCATATGTAGCTATAGTGTAGATACTATATTTATTAAAAGACAGCTGGAGTTTGTGTCGGTGACCTCGTTAGTTCGTATTTCCTACTTTACGTTACGATATTTGAGTAGGTCATTCATCCGCTTTGACGATCGTTTAAATCTTGTCAAAGGATATAAGTTTATGACTTCCTAAGGATATATATATATACATTTATAAATCGAATTATAATCGAATATCTCGTTTGATCGAGTAATTTTTTTTTTGTTACTCTTTTCTCACTTTTAATTAATATATCTTTATTAATTTCACAATGATCTAATCCAATAGATCGACGATATATAAATGGATGTTTACTCAAGATGAGATAAATCATTCATTCTGATGTATGTATGTATATGTAATTAAATATCATCAACGGAAATTGCATCGCGTTATCTCTAAAACAAGAACAACATAGGAGAGAGATAGTCCAATCAGAGTAACCCCATTCATTTGTTCTCTCCACCCCATTCGTTTAACCCCGATCGATAATCGAGTTCTGTGAATGAGAATCCGTGATCTTTCGAAAGATTGATCACGTTCTAAAAAAAGAAAAAAGTAAAAATCAACGCTTCGCTCTCTCTTATTTAATTATGCGAAAAAAAAATCCGAGATAAAACGATGGGCGATTAAAGGGAAATTTAAATGGAGAGAGAAAACGAAGAAGAAAGGAAGGAAGAAAAAAAGAAGGAAGAATTTTGAGGAACTTTGTCGTTTGAAAAAATGGAAGAAAAAGGGAAAACAAAAAAAAAAAAAAAGAAAAAAAAGAAAGAAAAGGGGAGACGAAAAAACAAGGGTAGGAAAAAAAAGGGAAAAAAGAAGCGACAGAACGGAATAGAAGAGAACAATACAAAACGAAAGAAAACAAACAAAAACAAAACAAAAGACAAACCTGTATCGACCCGATATCCTTTCGCTGGCCATTGTACGAGCCTGTCGTCGTTATTGAGCTACCGCCTCCACCTCCACCTCCGCCACCTCCGCCGCCTCTCGTGTTCCGTTCAATTCGTAAAAATAGTTTCGTTTTTCGTCTTTGGAAGAAAGAAGGAAGAAAGATGAAATCGAAGCTGATGGAACGTGATTATAAGATCCAGTAAGAGTGGCAGCGTCGCGAGCACTCTGGCGTCTCGACGACGATGTCGCGACGTCCAACGACATCCGGCGTCGCGGCGTTACATATGTATATATACATACGTATATGTATATATATATATAGTTACATAGACAGAGAAGAGAGACAGGCAGACAGAAAAAGAGTTAGAGAAAGAGAGATAGAGAGATAGAGAGAGAGAGAGAGAGAGAGAGAGAGGAAGAAAAAAAAATGAAAAAAGAGGAGAAGGAAAAAAAGGAATATCTCAAAAATATAAATATAAATAAACCCACATAAAGACTTATATCGTTACTTTTTGAGGCCACCGACTAGATGATAAAGATAGATAGATAAATAGATAGATAGATAGATAGATAGATAGATAGAAAGAAAGAGAGAGAGAGAGATTTCACCAAAACTTTGAATAGTTTATATGCGTGTTCTGGTTGTGTGTGTGTGTGATGTCCAAAATGACATAAGGAAATAAAATTGAAATGTATCCTATAAATTAACGTTATGAATCGAGAGATTCGATTATCACCGTGTCATTTTGATATTGTCTCATTGGATGATAAAATTGTTTGTTTCGATTTCTCTTTCTTTTTTTTCTTTTTCTTTTTTTTTTTTGGTTTTCTTTTCTTTTCTTTTAGTTTCTTTTTCTTTTGGTATGTCTGTTTTATGTCTTTTTTTTTTGTTTCTTTTTTTTTTCACTCGCGAATGATTAGAAATGTCAGAGTAACATGTTCGTCACTTTGTTAGCACGTTGACGAAGTCACCGCGATCAGCTGGACGCTCCGAGACTAGGAATGCACACGTTTTAACCCTCGGGCGTGACGCCGAGCTCTCTCTCTCTCTCTCCCTCTCCCTCTTTCTCTATCTATCTATCTCTATCTTACTTCTACATTTCTGTACAACCTATCTCCTTTCCATCCCCCCTGCCTCTACCCCTTTCCCCCGTCCCTTATGTCAGCACGCATTCGCTACCTTCGCGCGAGCGCGACAGAAAATATCAATAGATTCGAGCATGGTTGCTGAGCTTGCTTCTCTTTCTCTCTCTCTCTCTCTCTCACTCTGTTGCTCTCTCGCTTTCTATATCATTATATTAACAAACTAACCCTTCGTGTTCCCTTCGATCCTCTTTCTCATTGGTTATCATCGGTATTCACGCATGCGTCCTTCTAATAATTGCGAAGAATTTGAATTTAAAATGTCGAATCGAATTTTAATTCTCTTTTCTCATTTCGATTGAATATTGAGCCGTCCTTCTTTTTTTTTTTTTTTTTTTTTTTTTAATTATTTCTCGTATCTTTTCGATTCGTTAGAAACTGATGACATTAATTATAGATATTGGATTATTATTTACACGATACTTCTTTTTATTTTCTTTTCCTTTTAACAAAACAAGGAAATTTATCATTCAACTTAATCGCCCTTTTTACATTTCAACTATATAATACAATTTAATCGTTTGATTTAATTGTCGTTTGTATTCTTGTACGAAATAATGCAATTATAAGAATAACAATTCTTACAATTGAATTATTATAATCGATACGTTATACTCAATTGACGTTCTGTGCACGTAAATAATTTCGTTTAATTTCATTTTCATTCTCTACGAATTTCTTTTTATTTATTTGACATCGTTAAAGTATACGAGGGTATCGATATAAATTCATTCGATTCTCACGAAATAAATTATCAAATATTAATAACAATTCAAACAAATCAATTATGAATTTAATAAAGACCAAATTAAATTATTTCTAATCGTATTTCAAGTTTTTTATAAGGCGTAATCGAATGTTTTATCTTGATAAAGTAATTTCGCGCGATATTTATTGGATCGTTCGTTAAAAGTTACAATTTGTTTATCAATTAAATTTCTTTTTCGTTTTATAAATAAGAAATATATATATATATATATATATATATATATATATATATATATATTTACGTAAATGTAATTGAAACTTGATTAAACTTGATATATAAACGCGTTAAATAAACTTTTAAATATCCTCGAAACATTTTCTCCGCCACTTTCTCCGTATAAATGCTTTCGTGTCTTGAATCCATTCTCTTGAAACAATCGTCGTGCGCGATAAAGGCATAATTACTGTTTTGATAAAGTACACCACGCGTACGTTAATTAAATTCGTTCATTCTGTGCTCTTCACTTTTCACGACCGTCAGTAACTTTCATTTGACGATCATTTATATAATGCTTTCCATCGTTAATTAACTTTTATAACTATGTCATAGTTTCTTCTACATAGTTTGAATTTTCAAGTACATACGTATGTGTGCGTGTTTGTATTTATACATTTTCGTGTGCGCGTGCGTATATGTGCATGTATGAAAATTGTGTCGATTGAAATCGAATAACTCATAAATTAATAATAACGCTAATTGAATTCTTAATAGCTTTCTCGAGACAACGGGAACTTTGAATTTATCCTCTTGGAAATCATGTTATAATATTATATTGTTTTCTTTATTTTAATTGCAATATTATATTTTGAATGATTTAAAAAAAAAAAAAAAGAAAATAAGAGAAAATATAAATTGTAAAAGGAATATATTTAATCTAAATTTAAATGAAATTTTCATCGTGCCAAATCGTCATCTAACGATTCGAATCTATTCCGTTCGTTTACGACGATTATTATTCGTTCAAATATCATTCTAATCGTCGTCAACGTAACGTAATATCTCGTGATCAAGTAGAAATAAGAATAAACCAAATATCTATCTCACTATTGGTTCACCTAGAAACCAAATCGATATTCGTACGAGGCACAGGGGCTCACTTCGTAACAGATCTGCCAACTTTCATCGAAGTCGTCAGTCTTGCTTGACACGCGTCGTGATTTCCGAATAATTTGGAGAACGATATCGAAATTTTTTTTTTGACATTTTTCGTTTTTTTTCCTCTTCTTTTTTTTTCATTTTTTCTCGCCGTTCAAAATTCTCCATCGAAGATCATATTTTTATACGATATAATTAACTCTCTCTCTCTCTCTCTCTCTCTTTCTCTCTTTCTCTGTTCTTCTCATTCTCGAGAAACCGAGAGTGAGAAGGGGAAAAAAAAACAAAAAAAGAAAAATAAATAGATAAATAGATAAATAGATAAATAGATAAATAGATAGATAGATAAAAATGAATAAAGAAGTTGATACGAGGAACGATTTGTTCCATATGAAAAGTGGTGATAATATTTTGAGCTACACCGACGACGAATATTTAAGAAAATCTCATATAGAACGAGAGAGCAAGCAACATTTCAAGAGATATCGCACAAAACATATGAAGCTGTTTCCCGAACTCTATAGAAGCGACGTAACAATTCATCCCAGTTATACGAAGCTCAAAAATTTACCTTAGTAAGATTGAAATTATAAATTTTAAAAGTACAAAAAAAAAAAAAAAACAAAAACAAATTGAAAAATTAAAAATAATTATCTATCACGAAAAGATAATTCAAATTCATTCAATCTTTATACACATTTATCTTGATCGATTTAAAACGATAATACATAGAAAAATATTTTAATTATTTTATATAACACAAAAAAAAGATTTAATTATTGTTAATTATACGTTTAATTATTTATTTATTTTTTTTTTTTGTTTTTTCTTTACAAAAGTCAAGTCGTCTGTCATCAACGTTTGCAAAGTATCAAGAGACAAATATCACGTCAACTAAATCGTGAGATTATGAATTTTGCGATGATACAAATGTTTGCCCTGGATAGTATAAGGATCGATCGAATTTTTAGCGTTGGAATGTCACCAAGGATCACGATCGTCCCAGATTTCGCGACGGAGAAGGAACGCCGACGTATCGAAGAGATATTACGTTATTCATAAATAAATGATTAATAATCGTGCGTGCGTGTATATACCTACGTAATGCGTATTATCAAATCTTACGTATCTATTGTTATGAATCACGTGGACGCACATACAAAGCAAAAATAAATGACCTTTATATACCAGCAATCGATTACTTGTCATTCAAATACAATTATATTCATTGCTAACCGTACTCTACTTTCGTCCTTGAAAATACGCTTCTGCCTACATAATTTTCTTTCCTCTCAGCTAGTTCGTTATATTACACATGTCTTTTTTTTTTGTTGTTTACTTTTTTTTTGTTGTTTACTTTTTTTTTGTGACATTCGTTCCTCCAACATAATACAATTTTATTAAATTAATTTTTATTCACCCTCTATATATACATATATATATGTATATACATAACACATTGTCATTTTCAGTCGACTGTAGAAATCGTTTTTTCGATTATTTTAATAAACGAAGAAAGATTTATACAGAGTGAAAATAAATAAAAAAAAAAAAGAAAGGCGTAATATCGTTGACACTTATACTATTACTTTCGAATCAATGATTGAAAATCATTTTAAAGATATCAAGAATATTAAGGATGTACCGTAAGTCCTATCAAAGTGGATTTTTATCAATCTTGTATAGCTGTGGATCAGCTCCTTTGGAATCATGGGGCATGCACGTGAGTTTTTTTTTTTTTTTTTTTTTTTTTTTTTTTTTAATTATTATAGTATACAAGAGATACGACGGATTTATATATGCTCCCTATAAATGTTACCGAACAATCATGTTAAAGTACGATACTGTTAGGTAAAGAATGGATATATAAGACGGGTCATCGACGAAGAGGTAAAATCATTAGCGTTGGAATTAGCTGGAACTAATGTGGCAACAACCTACATTTTTTGTCCAGCAGAGAAGAAAAAGGTTCTTGGAATTTCATTACCTTTTTTAATAATGATTATTAAGAATATGAAGAGATATTTCACCTTCGAGATAACCGTAAGTTCATACTAATATTTAAAATTGATTTTGTATATTATATGTATATCTATTTATGAGCGCGGGTGCACACGCACACGCAACACACACACACACATATATACAACATATAAGCTGTTGATTTAAAAAGTGGAGCAAGTCTATTTTTTTTTGCTTCATAAATAAAAACAAATTTTATGTTAACTGCTAATAATTAGATTTAATTATTTTTTTTCACAAAGTGAACTTACCCCACTTTCAAAATAAAAAACTCATATATACACATTGTATATATTAATGTAATGTATAAATGTATATTTTTAATTTAGATACAATATATATATATATATACATATATACATAATTCGTTAATAAAAATTAACAAATATATAAATTACTTCTTTTTAGATTCTTGATGACAAGAACATGCATAGAAGATTTCGTGTAAGCAATTTTCAAAGTACTACAAGAGTCCGTCCATTTTGTACGACCATGCCAATCGGTTTATCCGGGGGATGGAATCAAATACAATTTAATTTAGCTGATTTTACGCGACGTGCTTACGGCAGTAATTACGTCGAAACGATGAGGATGCAAATACACGCAAATTGTAGAATTCGACGGATATATTTTGCGTCTAGGTTGTTATTTGTCATTATTTTAATAAGATCATTAATTTCATACGAATATAATTTGTTTAATTATTATGTACGATATCATTTCTAACTTGTTTTTATTTTCACTTATTTCTTTCATTCGTAGATTGTACAATGACGAGGAATTACCAGCTGAATATAAATTGTTTTTACCTATACATCGAAAGAAATGTGTCAGAGAGAAAGTTGACGTTACAAAAATTAGTAAACACGAGAAACCAGAGGTCGAAGAACCACCAGTATTATATAAAACTCCGTCCGAACAAATTATTAAAGAAGAAATCAAAAAAGATGTTGAACCTGAAATTCCACCGGAAGTTCCATTACCACCAGAAGAAGCCCATATTCCTGAAACCGAAGTACCGATCGAAGATGAAATGGAAGAGGATGAATATGAGATAGAACATGAATATGAAATCGATGATAGACATTTATTTGAAGAGGAAGACACTGCAATAGCTGCTATCGGGGCAGCTGTCGAGGCAATTACCGAGGAACATGAAGAAGAGGACGATTTTATCTTAAATGAAATGGCCATGGAAGATGAGGGCTAACCGAAAGAATATGTTTCTGAATGATCAAGATCTTATAACGAAGCTTTTGAATGCTTTCTCATTATATTTTATCCATTATCTTAATCTAATATCACAAATTTAGTAACAAAATAGATTAAATTAAATGATAAAATTATTGATTTCAAAGCACATAATAATCGTAATATAACAAATTTTATTGCTATTATTAAAAATGCACGTTATGATCGACGTTTGACACGTGTGCACTAATACATTGGAAAAAGTTATTAATATGATTGTATTTATTCGTTTTCTTTACTAATCAAATAAAAATTTAATAAATGATTATTACGTTACAAAGATAACTAAAGTAGAATCTAATGAGAATCCATGAAATCTTGAAAATCCCTATAAAGATAATAATTCGTATTAAATTTTAATCCCAGTGTTTGGAATTTCGTTTCTTACATTTAAATCTATTAATCAAACGAGATAGATTATTTATCTCTTTTGATAATAAAATAAAAAAATTTTATTTCCTAAATATACATGATCTAGATATATTAACATATGTTGATATTATCTAAATCAAATATTTTATGATCATATAATGTGTAAATTAAGAAATATAAATATTATATTATATCTACATTATACTGTTATGAAACATCATAATCATCATCATCTCTTTTTCTTTTTATAGAATCATCTGCTTCTAATTTCATAGGAGCCATAGTTTGACCAGAAGTAACATGTACTTTTGGTTTTGGTATTTGTGCTTTAACGGTGGCTGTTCCTGTTGGTGCTATAAAAATATAAAACATACAAGTTAAAGGAAGTGTCTATATAAATAGTACAAATTTAATTGTAAAATCTTTTAAATATAATTTTATCTTACATATTCGTGCACTTAACGAAATGAGATAGGATGGGATAGTTGAATGGAATTGAAGGACATAAAAATGATCTAGAGGATAATAATAAAATATATTACATTGAAGGAACATTCCTCTGCACTTTCATATTACGGAATATGCATAAAAAAAAAAAGTTATATGATTAAGTATTATACCTGTTGAAAATTTTAATACCGGCTTTGGTATAGATATTGTCTGAGTTCGAGCAACAGTAGTCAATGTGCCTGGTCTTTTGACTATTGAAAGACCAGTTTTACTTCCTTCTACTTTGATTCTGGATTGAACTCCAGATATATTATTACTAACTAATGAATGCATAGGCTTCGAAACAGTTTTTTTTGTAGCATTTTTTAATTTATAATTTGTTGCATTCAAACAATATCTATCAGGTGGTAACCTTAGACCATTGTTTGGTTTAACGAATGGTAAGGGTATATTATTTTTGGCACGAGCCACATCTAATAATACGTCTCTTGGTGGTGGATTTGTAAAAGTACGTTCCAACTGCATTTTCACGGCCAATCTTACGTCATCTAAGTCGATAAACTTCTTTTTCGCATGATTCGCATATATTCTACTATCGTCTAATATACACGTAACATAACCTAAAAACGCATTAAGAATGAAACAATATATTCTTAAAATTAGAAATTAGTACAAATACAATTAAAACACTTACGATATGTGAATTCAAGTAATTGATTGATAACTTTCGGTTCATAATCCGTGATTCCCATATCTTTCATAATCGACATAATAACTTGAGCGTCTTTCGGAATGTGTTTTACGTGACTCATTGTTCTAGATTTTTCAGTCATTTCATACGAACGAATGACTGCTGCGAATAACGCACTTTATTGAAACTAAATGTTACAATAAAAAAATATTTTCTTTTAACATTAACATTGAGATGCGATCACATAACGTTCACATGTGGAAGAATCGAAGAAACTAAGGTTAATGTTAATTGAAAAGATAGTCGTCGACATTTGCGCCCTCTGAAAGCTAAAGACAAAACTAATGATGCGTATGTGACGTATATACGTATTCATGCCCATATTAAAGGTATCGATAGTTTTCGGCAATTTTCGTTAATCGTCGTCAATCTTCGTCAATTCTAACTAGTTTTCCTGCCATTATTAAACTCGTCGTCCAAGTAAAATGTTACCTTTGTATAATCTATTTTTCATTTTATTTGTAAGTATAATAATCTTATTAGTAATCATCGTTCTTTTTACAGCTTTAAATAATTTCTAGCTAGACTTGTTGTTAATTAATGTATTACAGTGTTTAATGTAAATAATGCAACGAAATTATTAAAGACATAATTCTTAACCTATTTCTATGAAGAAAATCTCATTTTTAAGATTAATTTTAAAGGTTTAATTTAGGATCCCGCTTTTACAAATTTTTTAAAATATTTTAGTTTCTTTGAAAAAAATCGTGTTAAAAAATACTATTTTTTCAGAGAATAGTTTATGCTTAAATACAAAATTTTTCGCCTAAACATTACAAAGATCTTTTTGAGCGAAAAATTTAAAATAATAATAATTAAAAATTTTAGAACTTAAATCTCTGTTTAATATAAACATATTCGATCTTTTCATTAATTTAAGCATTACTGAATTGGTTTTCTTTTGCATTTCAATTAGCGAACATCGAAACTCTCTCTTTTTAAATGTAAAAACTTATAAATTAATATTTAAAGAATATTACGTTCGCATAAACGTTACATAGCTCATAATATATGTTAAATATAAAATAATTTCAATCTAATATTTTAACAGAGTTAAAAAAATTTTGATCGCTCGTTCGTTGACCACATTTAATATTAACAAAATCGAACATTTGATTGACTATGATATTTATCTCGATTTAGTTTTTTTCTTTTTTTTTTTTCATTCCAGCGAGTAAACATCGAAGATCTCTCTTTACAAACATCTAATATTAAAATATTAATACTTTCGAAAATTTTATAATTATTTAAAAAATATCTATACGGAATACAAGTGCAAATTAATATTTGAACAATAGTGCATTCACTGAAATATTAATTTTTCTCATTATCTTTATTACTATCTTAATCTAATATCACAAATTTAGTATAAAAATTAGAATAAATTAAAAATAGAATAGAATAAATTATTAATTTCAATGATTATAATAATCGTTATCTAACAAGTTTTATGGCTTTAAAATTATCATTAAAAATAATTTAATACTATCATTGTGGTCAGTGTTTGACATTAGTGTGTTAATACTATGGAATACTACGGTGTTATTAATATGATTGAATATATTCATTTTGTTTACTTAATATTATAAACTTAATAAATGATTATTACGTTACAAGGTAATCAAAGCAAAATTTAATGATAATATTTATGCCATCTTAAAAATCACTATAAACACAATAAGTCACATTAAATTCTAATCTCACTATTTGAAATTAATTTCTTGCATTTAATCCAATTAATCAAATAATATACATTATTTATCTCTTTCAATAATTAAAAATTTTCATTTTCTAAAAGCACATGATACGAACATATTAACATATCCGTTTCTTCCTATTGTTCAAATCAAATGTTTTATAATTATATAACGAACAAAACAACAAATATAAATATTATACTATATCTATATTATACTTTTACTTAAACATCATAATTATTATCTTCTCTTTTTCTTTTTACAGAGTCATCCGCTTCTATTTTAATATGTGGCACAGTTTGTCCAGATGTTATTTGTACTTTTGGTTTTGGTATTTGAGCTTTAACCGTGGTTGTGCCTGTTGGTGCTATAAAAGATATAAAACATAAGAAGTTAAAAAAACAAATAGTACTAATATTATTGTAAAATTATTTTGATATATAAATAATACGTTTTATCTTACATATTCGTGCTCTCAATGAAATATGGTAAGACGGGATAGTTGAATGGGATTGAAGGACATGAAAGTGATCTAGGGAATACATATACATATACATGTATATATATATATCTATATATATATACATATTAAATTTAAAATATATCGTTTATATCGCTAAACATGCTGTGAGTAATATAAAGTTATATAATTAAGTATTATACCTGTTGAAAATTTTAATACCGGCTTTGGTATAGATATTGTTTGAGTTCGAGCAACAGTAGTTAAAGTGCCTGGTCTTTTGACTATTGAAAGACCAGTCTTACTTCCTTCTACTTTGATCCTGGATTGTACTCCAGATATATTATTACTAACTAATGAATGCATAGGCTTCGAAACAGTTTTCTTTGTAGCATTCTTCAATTTGTAATTTGTTGCATTCAAACAATATCTATCAGGTGGTAACCTTAGACCATTGTTTGGTTTAACGAATGGTAAGGGTATATTGTTTTTGGCACGAGCCACATCTAATAATACGTCTCTTGGTGGTGGATTTGTAAAAGTACGTTCCAACTGCATTTTCACGGCCAATCTTACGTCATCTAAATCGGTAAACTTCTTTTTAGCATGATTCGCATATATTCTACTATCGTCTAATATACACGTAACATAACCTAAAAACGCATTAAGAATGAAACAATACATTCTCAAAATTAGAAATTAGTACAAATACGATTAAGACATTTACGATATGTAAATTCAAGTAATTGATTGATGACTTTTGGTTCATAATCCGTGATTCCCATATCTTTCATAATCGACATAATAACTTGAGCGTCTTTCGGAATGTGTTTTACGTGACTCATTGTTTTAGATTTTTCAGTCATTTCATACGAAGGAATAACTGTTGGGAATATCGCTCTATATCTTAATCAAATGTAACAATAAAATACACTTTCTTCTTACATTAACGTTGAGATGCGATCACATATTGTTCACGTGTGAAAGTGTTAAAGATAAAATAACATTGTTGTTACTTGAGAAGATAAACACGCTAAACCAACAATAAACAAATTCCATGGTTGCCACCTAAACTGAAGAAGACGTTATTAGGCTTCCCTTCGTTCATAATGTTTATCATCCTGACAATAATATAAGAATAAACTACACTTTTTCGTTTCTTTTTTTAGTTACTATCAAAATTAAGAAGAAAAGACAAATTTTTATATTGGTACGAGAACAGTTTATGAATTGAGAAGTTGGCATGCCTTATACAATAAGGTTAGGTGTAGCTTATGGAGACGAAGCTTATGCGATGAGTTAGTTGTGTCCGTCTGTTTGTTTTGGGAAAATCTTTGTCTATTGAAAATCTAGGTCTCTCGATAATCCCCTCTTAGGGTAGGGAGTAATAGAATACTCCCACAGTACTCCCTGCTTGTCGTAAGAGGCGACTAAAAGGGATTGTGTGAATGGTGTGTGAATGTTCTCGTACGGCTATTCCTTTCTTTGTTCTTCTGTCATCTATTTCTCTATTCTTTATCTTTCTCTAACTTCCTTCCATTCCTTTCCTTAACTTTCCTTTCCTTTCCTTTCCTTTGGGGAGCTTGCCTCTCAATAATATTGGTACTTTATCATGGATAGTACATCTACAGTCATAAGCGGGCGTGGGAGGGACACCCACGCCACGGCGGTATCAGGTGGTGGTAGAGTAGGCCACCCGCCGTCGTCAACCAGCAACTGCCAGGAGCTCGGGGTAGGCGACCTGGCCCCAGCTCTGGATACTGCATCAGGAAGGGCACCACAGGTAAGCGACCTGGCCTGCGGTGTATCTACTGCGCCAGGAAGGGTAGTAAGGGAAGAAATCCACTTGGAGAAGTGGCAAAGGGCTGCCAGGGCCATTGAGAGCATGCAGCGCTCCGGCTCGATGTCACTTATCCTAGTGAGAATGCACAAATATGCGAGGCTCCTGACCTACTCCTCAGAGGAAGAGGAGTTAAGGGTAGACTTGGCCGGATTGAATAAACAAGGACCGGCAAAGACCCTGGCATCTAGTATAGAGACTGACAGGCTGCTGGAACGCGCCAGGGACTTTATCCTAGAAGCCGAAAAGGGGAGGAGAAAATGCTACAACAACATTGAGGATGAAGCTTCAGAAAGATTGAAACATTGCCATAATAAGGTGCTGGAAGTGATTGAAGTCCTAAGGGAGAGGCTTCAAATTGAAGCAGGTGATCCTACTTCAACCAAGGAGGCCATAGAACTGCGCAATAGGTTGGCGGAATTGAAAGAAAAAAATGCCCGTCTCGAGAAAGAACGTAGGGAACTACTATTAAACTCCTTGGCTGCGAGGAGCCAAACAACGACCCGAGATACTGCAGCTTTTGGTCTTTGCAGAGAACCCTCTGCACTGGTCTCAACATCGGATCGTCATACAAGGTATAGTAACCCAATAGATAGTCGAGCAGATAGTCAAGTCGGTAAGGATACTGACGAAGGCTGTCCGCAGTATCCAGCAACAGCTACAGCAGCAGCAGCAGTGGCAGCAGACAACGAATAGAGCAACGACTGGAGCTGATGGGCCACACAAAGGCTCCACCCTCTGTGTTGAGTCCACTCGATCCCCTGACGCAACCCTGACGCAACCTTTGCAAGAGCAGGCGGCCCTCAGTAAAACAAGGAAGAAGAGGAATGGGGCGCAGAGAAGAAAGAAGAGGAGGCAAAGGGAAAGAGAAATAGCTGCATTTTCCCTATCCTGTACTGAGGAGACGACGTACTGAGATGCGCTCCTCCGGGATAGGGAGAACATTAATATAAAGGACTTGGGGATCGACAACATGTTGTGCAGAAGAGACCTCACGGGCGCAGGTACGAGATACAGGGGCAATTGAGAAGGCCGACCTGGTAGCGGAAACCTTGAGCAATGCCGTCTCAGAACCAAGAATTACATGCCCTCTGCGCACTATGCAAGGCGAATGCCGGCTTGGTTCACCGAGAAGGGATACTGGGCGAATATGTACTACGTTTATGCGCGATATCGCCCACCCCCTCTTTCCTCAACGAGTTAGTATTAAGCATTGGGAGGTTTTTTAGTCGGTAGGCGATCCGAACCTGAGAGTATGTTCAGACGGGTTGAATCCAACACTCCCCTGAGTACCGGGCTCAGGGGGCCTATGAAGGTTTTTCCTCCTGACGAAGCAAAAAAAAAAAAAGGTCTCTCGATAATGTATTTGTTCATCTGTTCATCAATTTAATGAAATATTCGATAATATCGGAGAATCTTCAAAAATCTCAAAAATTATGAATTGAGCTAGAATTATCGAAAAGATATAGGTTAATTATTATTTTCCAAGTTAAATTAGTCGATAAAAGAGAGACGATAGAATTACCGGTCGATTTAGAATTATTGCTAAATTTTTATCTTCAAAGTAGTATAATTTCTCATATGATTTTCTTTAGCATTTTTATAATGTATTATTATTTTTATTGCATAAAAAAGTTTTCTAGCATACATTAAAAATCGATTGTTATGCTATACGTGAAAAGAAATATAACCTATAGAAGCTTATGTATCGATGCGATATTAATATCGATGCAATAGTAATATCGATACATAATAATATCGTGTTTTCCTATTACATTTGTAGTTTATATTTTGCATATAGATATTATATGCTTGTGGTGTTTCTGAATCGAGTCGCCAGAGGGTATGATAGTCGCACCAGAAGGAAACTGGCAAGCCAATCAGAAAACAGAACAACGATAGCGCATGCTATTGGCCTGAATTTTCAATATAGATAATTTAGTTAAAAACGAATTGTCAGTGTAGATAGTCGCTTTTAAATAAACCGATAAAGTGAATAATATATTCGTGAATTTTCATGGCATTCTTTCGGGAACTTAAAAAAATAAAGGAAAATAAATGTGTCAATGATCTCAATCAACGTGAGCACTTATACGCTACGACTGAAAGGTATTTAAAAGTCTTAATTAATACATTTAGAGAAACATAACAATACAACAAAATTGTTAAACGATCGAAAGTATTCTTATGATTATTTTCGAATTTAACGAAGATATTATCATCATTATTTTTATATTATCTTTATCGATCTTAAGGATCAATGATTTTGATTCATTTAATTCCTAACTCGTTAAATACGATATTGTTCATTAATTTATATTATTACATTTTTATAACAAAAATTATCTCTATCCTATGAATCAATGATTAATTTTTCAATACATTTGTTAATACCTTAGATATTATTCATTTATTATTAAATTGTTTATAAGACGTAAAATATAGTATTATCCTTTAATTTATTATTATATTTTCGAGAATAAGAAAAAAATTGTAATTAATTAATAATCCTTCTCACAAGTTAATGAACTTCACGTGGTGTGATTTAATGATCGATATTATCATCGTTCTTATTTCATAATCAAATTTCGTGTATGATTGTAAACAACGTAAGTACTCTATCATCGTGTTAAATGTTTACTTTTAATAATACATTTTGTCAATATTAAATAATTCCAATTACGTTTGAGTTTCAAGAATGAAATATTATTTTATGATAAATCGTGATACGATAGAATAAAGAGAAAAATTGATTTAATGTTTACAGTCTCTTTCGACATTTTTTTTTTGTTTATTTTATTAATCATTGAATCTTTTATCCGTCGATAATATATCGATAACGATGTCGTTGCAGTTTTCTACATTACCAATACACTCAGATAGTTTTAGTTATATCGAATTCCACTAGAGGATTATTTGTATGATTGAAAAGAAATCGTCGATTAATTTAATTAAAATTAAAATAGATGTTTTATTTCTATGTCTTTTTTTTTCTTTTTTTATTGGATTTTGATAACATTAGCGTTTCATTATATGATATAAGAAATTCATTTAAGTTTTTATTGTCGTATATGTGTGTGAGCATATATATATTATGTATATATATATATAGTAGTATACATAGAGGTTATTTAAAAACTGGTTGAGAATCAAGAAGGACGGTTAACCTCTTTTATTTGATCGAAAGTCAAAGGGTAACTAGGTGCACATTTTGTGGTCCAAGTTTGCTCTTCTCTCGAATGGACAATGGTCGTTTGGTGGGTCATTGAATAAAAAAAAAAAAAAGAAAGAACGTTTTAAAAAGAGAAAAGAAAGAAAGAAAGAAAAGGGAGACAGAATCCCCTTTTGATGATGGACCAGTTTTCTGTTACAGGAAGTGACTCGAGGAACTGAGGATGGTAGAATATATATATATATATATATATATATATATATATATGTATATGTATATAAGTGTCAAAGGTTAACTGGATTCATTTGGAGACCATAGGCTTGCGTATAATATGGTATGGGCACACACAGCATCACCCTTCTTTATTCCGGATGGACCAGTTTTTCAACAGGCACGTTAGCTATAGTAAAATTTTCAACGTGATTCTGGGACCCGGGCCAGGACCTCGGCACGCGAACTAACAGGTTTCCACGAGAGTTCCTGAATCTGTCGACGATGGAAAATAGATCGTGATCTAGATCAGGTGAAAACTGGTCCACTCTTGGTATGCTCTTTCATTTCTTTTGTAAGTATTGTAGGATTGTTTAGAGATCAAAGTTCATTGTATTGAAATACGTGTATCATTGATACACCTTACTTCGTAAATAACACACGCACGCGATCAGATTTATTTTTAAATATAATACATAATTCAATCGTAAATTGATTGTATATAAGAAAAAAAAAAAAAAGGAATAAGTATGAACAAATGATTGGAAATTAAATCGATTTTTAACAAAACTCAAGAAAGTAATATTTTCGAGGTCGACATTTAACGAGTAAGAAAAAAAATGACGACAAAAAGAATTCGATCGCGTAGAAGTGAGGAAAGAAAGAAAGGAAGAGAAAAAAACAAAAACAAAAAAGAAAAAAAAAAGAAAAAAAAGAGAGAGAAAAGAAATGAAAAGAAAAGAAAAGAAATAAAAAGGATCCTGAACGTTCAATCAAAAGGATGGGAAACAAAGGCCGTTGACATGTGTGTCACGTGATACGCCGAGACCAGCCCACATTGGCCACTTCTTTTACCTGTCCATCACTCGGTTGCTTTTCTAAAGATGAGAAGTCTCGCTTGAAAGAGGACATTTGCGTCCGTACACGAGTTATTGTGCACCTTTATCGTTCCTTTCGTGAGTACTCTTCTAATATAAGTACATACATATCTACATACATACATACACACATACATATATATATATATATATATATATGTACTTTGGAACGGATCAATGATATAAGATCGATCATGTAGAAGAAACGTTAGGTAGGATTTTTATAAAAAAATTTCCTTCCATTCTTGCTATCTCACTTTCTTGCCGAGTTAACGCATGTTAACGTTCTCCCTCTCTCTCTCTCTCTATCTCATTCTTTCTTTCTTTCTTACTTTCCTTCTTTCTTTCTCTCTTTATCGTAAAAGCTTATTTTTCACAAGAGAGTGAGAAGTTTAACCGCGCTTAAGAAGCGTTTTCTCTCCGTTGGTATCGGTAACGAGGTCGACTCTCTCTCTGCTTCTCGACACTCGAATGGAGTATGAGGTATTCGTAGACGCGTGGTATTACGGGGGACACCCGTATATAGGGAGGGCGTATTTGTTTTACTGCCTGGCTGCCGGCATTGGTTGAGAACGTGCTCCGCATTCTTGAAATCGTGCCACCCTTGTTACGGCATAGACTGTACTCCAACGTTATCCTCACCCCCTTACCAACGGACTTTCTCTCTCTCTCTCTCTCTCTATCTTTCTCTCTTTCTCTCTCTCTCTCTCTCTCTCTCTCTCTCTTTTTTCTTTACCGCGTGGATATACCAGTAGAAGTTGAAGGACCGTCGCCATTCCATCCTTCTCGTTTCTCTCTTTCTTCTTTCCTTCGCTGATCATAAAAATTCTTAACTGTAATATCTCTGTGTTATCTAAAATAGTGCTTGGTTCCTAGGGATAAATTCGTAGAGGATTGGATAGTTCGCTTGGCTATAAAAAAAAAAAAAAAAAAAAAAAAAAAAAAAAAAAAAAAAAAAATTAAAAAAAAAGGGAACATAAAAATTCCTATACTTTGTCCTATGATTTGTATCTCGTTAATGATAATGCTTTACTTATTCGATTGTCATTTATTATCATCATCATCATCATCATCATCATCATCATCATCATCATCAAAAAATAGAAAAACAAAAGAAAAAGGAAAAGATAAAAATCTTACATTTTGTAAGATATCTTGTCAATGATTAATAATTATCTCAATTGTTTATATTATTTTGATGTATATTTTAAATGAATGAGAAAATGTTCGATATTTTAACGTTCGTCGATAAGAAATATATTTCATAGTTCCTAATGAAAATTTTGTTTAAACGTGAACATTATTGAAGGAAGATTCTTTTATCGTAAACTCATCATAAAATATGAGGTATCTTCTTTTTGCACTTTTTAAATCGTCGATCGTAGATCCCGTCGTCGACAGCTGCGAAATCTTTCTGCTTGATAATAGCTATCAGTTTCTCATCTAAAGTATCTATTGGATATATCGTCGTATATTTGATTTACCGATATATACATACATACATACATATATACATACATATATATATATATATATATATATATATATATATATGTATGTATTATGTTGCCGACTTCTCTGGATAGAAAGAAAAGAAAATAGAAATAAAAAGATAAGAAAAACAAAAAAATGGTATTCTTGGACTACTAACGTCGTCGACGACGACGACGACCACGAACTCAAGGAAAGTGAAGTAAAAGGGCTAGGAAAAAGGATGGAATGAAAGTAGAGAGAGATAGAGAGAGAGAGAGAGAGAGAAAGAAAGAAGAAAAAGAGAGTCCGGCATTCCGTGGATCCTAATTTACGGCTAGGATTTCGAACGTTTATGTCTTTCCGATAAGGTCGTTCTCACGGATGCAACGCCTTGCACGGATGGATCTTTCTTTCTTCTTTTTTTACTTTTTATTTTTCTCTTTTTCTTTTCTTTCCTATTCTTTTCTTTCCTATCTTCTCTCTCTCTCTCTCTCTCTCTCTCTTTCTCTCTCTCTCTCTCTCTTTCTCTTACTCTTTATTTCTTTCCTCGTGTCGCAAGATGTCAGCAAGAAGTTCGTCTTCCAATGTCGTTAACGAGATCGACGAAACGACACTATGTCGATTCGAGAAACGTAAGAAATCTAAAGCCTCGTAAAGATGTTAACGATTTTTCAATGATCTATATACGTCTTTATCATAATCCACGTAATAATATACCTTCCATAAGATATGATATTAATATACAATTGAATTTTTTTTCCTTCTCTATTCTTCTCTTTTCCTTTCTTTTCTTTCTTTTTTTTTTCATTCTTTTTGTCTTTATTTTTTTTTTTTTAATTTCATTTTCTTTTTCTTTTTTTTTTTCCTTTTCTTTTCTTTCTTCTTTCTCTTCTTTCAGAACCGATCAATCCCGGATATCGATAATATTTATTTAAAAGTAAGGAACCACCGGAGATGCGATAAAATTGGAAATTTTCTACTCTTTCCGTCCACGGGATAGAGGGGTGTTAAATTCTCTGTGAGATTCGATTGGCCAACGCTTTGGCGGTGGGCATACATTTCCCGTCCGGAAGATACGGTATGATGGTTTTGCTCGTGTTATTTCTTTCGCGAGGACATCTTTTTTATTTCCTTCTCTCTCTCTCTCTCTCTCTCTCTCTCTCTCTCTCTTTTTCTCTGGCGTTTATTTAGATCTTTTAGATATTTTACACATAGTTAATCTACATACCTATATACTTATATCTATTCGTAAAAGTAACTTTAAATCGTAATACAGTATACATATATATCTATATACTCGAACAATCGTGTTACTCGTAAGGAAAAAAAAAAGAAAAGAAAAAAAAAGAAGACAATATAATATAATTACTATTAACTATATTCAATCTATTTTTATTTCTGTATTAGATTTAAAATAATTATATATGTATATATGTATATGTACTTAGATATAGTTACATAGAATGCGTTATATAATGAGGATTTAAGAAAGATGGTGGTCGATCGACGACCTCTCTAATTTATTCAAAGTGACATTCGGAATCGTCGACGCATCATGTGGTCTGTGACCTGATAATCGGATAAAGCTCGTTAATAATTGCTGGACTATCTGACTCTTAACGTTGGCCGACACGATAGTAACCGAAATATTCCCATAAATTTTCGTCGTTTTGGAAGAGTATGTAGCTTATTATAGATCCCTATAAATTAAATTATCTCAAGATATGAGAAAATAACAAAAAAAAAAAAAAAAGAAAAAAAGAAAAAAATTTGCCAATTGCAATGATGATTGTCACAATTATTTATGTGGTTTCTATTTTTTTTCTTTCTTTCCTTCCATCTTTCTTTCTCTCTCTCTCTCTCTCTCTCATTGAGAATAACTCTATCTAAACCTACTTTGTAAGGAATATATATATATGTATATATATATATATATATATATATATATATTTATATATATATATATATTGCCCGTGATAGATTTTAACGTAATCGAAATTCCAAGGAAACGGTGCGTAACCAACAAGCAACATCGACGTTTGAAAAAGTATCGTCGTTTCGTGTCTTTTTACTTTTCGACCACTATCCCGAGTAAACTCGAGAAGGGGGTGATAGAGGTAGGGGCTTACGGGATGAGGGGAGGAAGAGGGGGGAGGATATGGAAGAGGAGTAAAAGGGAAAAGTAGAGGAGGAAGAGGAAGTAGGATGGTCAGAATTTATAGCGTCTTTGGGTTGCGTCTGTGAGAGGAAGGAAAGGGATGAGACGCAGGGAGGGGGGAGGGGCAGGCGGGCGGGCGGGAGCCACCCCTCAGAGACTCAATGTTTTCTAGAGGGAAAGTCGGAAGTCGAGTCGAACCCTGGCCAGGACTAGCCGTATCCCATACGTCTTGCTAACAGACTGGATAGGTTTGGTCACGATCGTTTGGAAATGAAAAAATTGTATAAAATCATGTCGACGTGTTATCGGTATAATTTTATTAAGAATAATTACGCAATGAAAATGAAATGATATTATTATTGTTATCGTTTCTTAATTAAATCTAGAAACGTGGATATATTATTTTTGAAGATACCGAACGATGGACAATTCGTAAACGTTATCGTCTAGATTTAGTTGGACGAGTACGGCGGGTCCCTCCATTTTCCGAATGGACTTCTGACCCCACCATCCCTCCGTTCGTGGCTCTCGGGGATGCTTTTTATTAGACTACGGTAGGATCAACCGATATAGAGAAGGTACCTTGTGCGTTCGTGAATATATGTGTGTTTATATTGTGTAGTAGTATCTATTTGTGTGTCTGGATGTCTGTGTGTCTATGTTTGTGTCTGTGCGTGCCTTTGACTATATAGAGGCCTATTCCTATACGAACTAGTAGTGGCCATGTTCGGGACGAAGGGACAACCCCATTCGCTAAATTAACTGCGTTAGATCCGGACCTTGAAATTCTTTACGCTTTCGTCGACCTTACGACGGCCATTTTACGCAGTTTATCTCGAAAACTCGAAACGTCCCTATCGTCACCCTAAATATTCTTAAGCTTTTCGGACTTGCGATGGAAAGAAAAAGAAAAAAAGAAAATAGGAAGTGGGGGAGGAAGAAAGTAATTCTCTAGATCTATAAATAGGACTTTGATGTATTTATTCGATTTATGCTCGTTCAATTCTTCATG